CACATGCAATACTGAAGCTGGTGGCCGGGGGCGGGGCACCGGAGACCCCTACATACCTGACACCCTCACATGCAATACTGAAGCTGGTGGCCGGGGGCGGGGCGCCGGAGACCCCTACATACCTGACACCCTCACATGCAATACTGAAGCTGCTGGCCGGGGGCGGGGCACCGGAGACCCCTACATACCTGACACCCTCACATGCAATACTGAAGCTGGTGGCCGGGGGCGGGGCGCCGGAGACCCCTACATACCTGACACCCTCACATGCAATACTGAAGCTGGTGGCCGGGGGCGGGGCACCGGAGACCCCTACATACCTGACACCCTCACATGCAATACTGAAGTTGCTGGCCGGGGGCGGGGCGCCGGAGACCCCTACATACCTGATACCGTCACATGCAATACTGAAGTTGGTGGCTGGGGGCGGGGCGCCGGAGACCCCTACATACCTGACACCCTCACATGCAATACTGAAGTTGCTGGCCGGGGGCGGGGCGCCGGAGACCCCTACATACCTGACACCCTCACATGCAATACTGAAGTTGCTGGCCGGGGGCGGGGCACCGGAGACCCCTACATACCTGACACCCTCACATGCAATACTGAAGTTGCTGGCCGGGGGCGGGGCGCCGGAGACCCCTACATACCTGACACCCTCACATGCAATACTGAAGTTGCTGGCCGGGGGCGGGGCGCCGGAGACCCCTACATACCTGACACCCTCACATGCAATACTGAAGTTGCTGGCCGGGGGCGGGGCGCCGGAGACCCCTACATACCTGACACCCTCACATGCAATACTGAAGTTGCTGGCCGGGGGCGGGGCGCCGGAGACCCCTACATACCTGACACCCTCACATGCAATACTGAAGCTGGTGGCTGGGGGCGGGGCGCCGGAGACCCCTACATACCTGACACCCTCACATGCAATACTGAAGCTGCTGGCCGGGGGCGGGGCGCCGGAGACCCCTACATACCTGACACCCTCACATGCAATACTGAAGTTGCTGGCCGGGGGCGGGGCACCAGAGACCCCTACATACCTGACACCCTCACATGCAATACTGAAGCTGGTGGCCGGGGGCGGGGCGCCGGAGACACCTACATACCTGACACCGTCTCATGCAATACTGAAGCTGGTGGCTGGGGGCGGGGCGCCCCCACGGGGCAGCTAAAACAAAAGAACTCGGCTCATTTGCCTAAACAGTTAAGTAGGCTGCATGGTGAAGAAAAATCGAACGGAAAAAGCACGGCTGCCCCAGGACCCTCATATGTGCACAGCTGAAAACACGCAGAATAAAGCCGCCTGTTGTACCTGGGAACTCACATAAGCAGCGAAGCTAGGAAGACAGCACTGGGAAGACCCCCACCAACCTCGGCAGCGGCCGCCTCTGGCAAGAGGGGAGGGGGTGGGACGGGGGTTTCACCTGCTTCCACGCTGCTCTTTCCTTCACCTGAAGCAAAAACAGGAAAATGCTGAGACCGCCGAGTCTGGCAGGTAGATATCTGTTATATTGCTCTCTATGCCCATTTAACTTTTAAAATGTCACAATATAAAATGAAAAGAGGCTGAGCGCAGTGGCTCACGCCTGTCGTCCCAGCATTTTGGGAGGCCAAGGCGGGCGGATCATCTGAGGTCAGGAGTTCGACACCAGCCTGGTCAACATGGCAAAACCCCACCTCTACTAAAAGTACAAAAATTAGCTGGACATGTTAGCACATGCTTATAATCCCAGCTACTCCGGAGGCTGAGGCAGGAGAATCACCTGAACCCGGGAGGCAGAGGTTGCAGTGAGCCCATACTGCACCAGTGCACTCCAGCCTGGGCGACAAGAGCAAAACTCCATCTCAAAAAAAGCTAGGGAAGAAAATAATCCTGTAATCCCAGCATTTTGGAAGGCCGAGACAGGAGGATTGCTTGGGCCCAGGAGTTTAAGCCCAGCCTTGGTGATATAGCGAGACCTCATCTCTACAAAGAGGAAAAAAAAATTTTTTTGAGATGGAGTCTCACTCTTTCCCCCATGCTGGAGTGCAGTTACATGATCTCAGCTCATTGCAACCCCCTCCCGGGTTCAAGCAATTCTTGTGCCTCAGCCTACCAAGTAGCTAGGATTGCAGGCATACAGGCCACTAGACCCGGTCAGAAAAAAATTTTTTTTAATTAGCCGGACATGGTGGCACACTTCTGTAGACCCAGCTACTCAGGAGGCTGGGATGGGATGGTCCCTTGAGCTCAGGAGGCTGAGACTGCAGGGGGCCATGTTTCCACCAGGGCACTCCAGCCTGGGTGACAGAGTGAGCTCCTGTCAAGAGAGAAAGGGAGACAGGAAGGAAGGAATGATGGAAGGAAGGAAAGAGGGGAGAGAGAGAGAGGGAGAAAAGAAAGAAAAGTAATCTGAAAAGTGTGTTAAAAGCATGTAGGAGTTGGGTGTGGTGGAACATGCCTGTAATCCCAACCACTTGGGAGCCTGAAGCAGGAGGATCACTTGAGCCCATGAGGAGTTCAGTCCAGCCTGGATCAAATAGTGAGACCCTGTATCCTTTTTTTTTAAGCATATATAATAGGATGCTACCCACGGCAGTTTTTTACAGCTCAAATATGAAACTAACCTAACACGTAAAAAATAAAGAATTGGTTCAACTATCGCTGTACGCCCATAAAATACGGTACCACACAGATACTTATTATCAGGTTGTGAGAAAGCAGCAATGTGGATGAATCTCAAAAGAATTTCCTTAACGCCAGGCCCGGTGGCTCACGCCTGTAATCCCAGCTACTCAGGAGGCTGAGGCAGGAGAATTGCCTGAACCCAGGAGAAGGAGGTTGCCGTGAGCCGAGATCGCGCCATTGCACTCCAGCCTGGGTAACAAGAGGGAAACTCCATCTCGGAAAAAAAAAAATTTTTAAAGGTTGGGAAACCCGTGGCTCGGAGGTTTGCTGTAGATAATTATATGCGCATCAGCGAGAAAGTGAGCCCCAGCGCTCCGTCCGCACGGTAAGGATGCTTCAGGAAACGACCTTGGGCGTCCTCCCGGCGGCGAGCCTGCGGACGGCAGAGGGCGCGCGCGAACCCGGGCCGGACCGGCTCAGACCCACCGTCCGGCCCCGAGCGCACGTCCCGCTCCAGGCTGCTGGGCCCCGCCACGACCCTCGCTGTGGCCTTGGCGCCTCCCTGGCCCCTCGCAGGGTCCTCCCTAGCCCCGGAGACCCGAGACGGCCTCTACAGGCCCGGGTCCGGACTGACACCGCGGCCCCCTCCCTGGGTCGCGCCTGCCACCCACGTCCACACCTGTGCTGCGAGTCGGTGCGGCCGCCGAGCTAAGCCGAGCCGAGCCGAGCCGAACTGAACTGGGCTGAGCCGCTCGGGGCACACAGGCCCCTGCGCCCACCCCAGGCACGCGCCCAGCCCGCCGGCCCTGCTGGGTGCAAAAGGGACAAGAATCCACGCAGCGGGGCTGCAGAAAAGCCACCGGCAGTCCTCTCCAGAGCGCCACCTCCCCAGCCCTCCACCCTGGTTGGGGGCAGAACCTAAGGCTCTCACTGCTTATTTGCACGAAAATGACCACGAGGGTTATAACAATCGCGCCCAAGGGCGCACCCCTCCCCAAGGACAGCCCAGGCTCTCCAGGGGAAGCTGCGTTCCCCACCAAGCCACCCCCTGGGAGCCTCCAGGAGGGATTCAAGGTCGCTGCCTGCCACCTGCTCCAGCCTGGCCAGGAGCTGCCCAGGGTATAACTAGAGGTCTTAGGGGACAATGGGCACTCCCAGGCCACAGGCAGATGCGGGCCACGTCCCAGCCGAGCAGCAGATGCACTGGTCCCTTCCCCATTACACTCACCTGGGCCTTGCAGGGGGAGCAAGCCAGGTGAGGCCTTCCCCCAAAAGACAGCCCCTCTATCTAATCAACAACCTCCACTCATGGGGTCCCAGGCCCTTCCAAGCCTGCGACTACCTCCTCAGGGGCCTCATTCACCCCCTGTGGCCACCCGGCCCCCTCCGGGTCTCAGCCTCCCTCCCAGGGCCAAACCTCCCCCAGTTTTCAAACCCAGCAAGCCTGTGTCCCTCACCCCCACTCACCAGGACCCGCGTCGGGGTCCCGCAGCTCCAGCCCCGGGGTCCCCTCCAGCCAGGGCCTCCCTTCTCGCAGGGCCCTCTGCTTAGGGGCACAGCCTCAACCCCAATCACCCCTGGGCTCCCAGAGCTTCCCTCCGGGAGAGCCCCACGCCCGCCAAGGCATTTGTTTGTCCTGTGTGCCAACTCTGCGCGGGAACGCCACCAACACCTCACCCCACACGGGCAACTGCCCGGTCCCCTCAGGCTAGCCAGGGAGGGAGCTGTAAGCACTTATTAACCCCCATTTGTGCTCCGCTCTGAGGCCGGCAGGGAGACTGGGTATGGAAACGGGGGACCCGGAGCCCCGCTCAGCACCCCCCCCCCGTTGCCCACAATCCTCCCCACCCCCAGCCTGAATCGCCTTCGCACCCGAGCTCTGGGGTCCTGGGTGCCCACCGAGAGTTCTGTGGCCCTTCATTCAACCAGCGGCCGAGGCCTCTCTCACAGCCCCAGGTTGACCCTGGAAGGCCCAGGCAGAAGGCGGACCACCCGCACGCTCCCTCTCCACCCGGCAGCGGGAAGGGGGCCTTTTAGAAATCTCTGGGGTGTCACCCCCAAAAAAATCATTACCTTCAAAGGCTCCCAGGCTCCTTGGCTCCCGGGCAGGGGTCTTTGTCCCCTTCCTCCGAGACAGCGAGGCCACCGCCCGCCCTCCCCGTCCAGTGCGAGTCTGACCCCGTCGCTCCCGCCCAGCACCTACCAAGGTGCAATTACCCGCGCGTTCTTCCTGCCCCGACTCGCCGCGTCCCCGCCGCGCGCGCGGAGCTGTTCCCACGGCGGTCGGCGGGGGGCGGCCACTCAGCAGCTCGCACGGGGGTCGTCGGGGAGGCTTTCCACGGAAGCCGGAGGGCCGAGTGTCCTGGGGGGGGCAGCGTCGTCTTGGGGAGCCCACTGGAGTTCGTGGATGTGTGGTCCGAGGCGGGCGGACCGCCGGTGATCACAGCGTCCCGGGTCCGACCGAGTCCTGGGGGCTCCGGCTCCGTCCTGCGGGGGTCGCGGCAGGGCGAGCGCAGCCGCTGCAGGTAAAACGTGCGCCCGGGATGCGAGGGGCGACGGCGCGGGTCTGGGGAGGACTCCCGGTGGCGGCCCCGAGCCAACAAAGGCTGGGCGGAGCGGGGAGCGGGGAGCGGGCCGGGGAGAGGACTTCGCGCCCGGGGCCGCTTGGCGGGACCGCCCGGGGTCTGTGCGGCGCGGCGGGGGTCCCGGGGGAACGCAGAACGCCGGGCCGGGAGGGCTTCCTGGAGGCGGGGTCCGCGCGCACCGGGCCCGGACGCCGTGTGGCCCCTTTAAGAGCCGGTCCCGGGGTGAGCGCGGAGGGCGGAAGGCGGCGGCGGCGGCGCGACCCGACCCGCAACCCCCCCGCGGCCGCCGCCTCCCGTCCTCACCCCGAGCCCGGGCTCCGCTGACGTCACCTGCCCCCGAGCCGCGCGCGCTGATTGGCTACAGGTGACGTCAGGGGCTTTTTTCGCTCCGCATGAGCTCATCCCCGCCGGCCGCCCCGCCCTCCGCCCCGGGCCTGTCACTCGCGGCCGAGCGCTGCCGCCCAGCCGGCTCCGCGGCCCCCCCCCCCCGGCGCCCCCCGTCCCGCCGGACGCCGGAGCCCGAGCCCGAGCCGCGCCGGAACCGCCCGGCCGCGCCCGCCGAGCCGCGGGGCTGGGATGCGCGCCGCGAGCGCGCGTGCCAGCCCGCAGTGCGCGCGCCCCGGCCCGAGCGAGCGCTCCCCGCGGCGTTGGCGGCGGCGGCGGCGGCGACGGCGACGCGGCCCGCGCGCTCCCCCGGCCCCTGCCCCGGCTGCGCGGGCCCCCGCCGGGCCCATGGACGGCGCAGCGGAGCGGGCGCCCTGAGCGCAGCGCGGGCCCCCGGAGCGCCCCCGAGGCGAGCGCCAGCGAGGTGAGCTGGGGCGGGGGCGGCGCCGGCGGGGACCGGGTTGGGGTTCACCAGCCCGGCCCGGGGACGCTGGGGGCGGCTGCACCCGGCGGGCGCCCGGGAGAAGGAGGCGGCGGCCCCGGAGGCGCCCGGGACGGCGAGGCCCTTCCCCGCCCCCCGCAGCGCCCGGCAGACCCCGGCCCAGCCCACGCCCGCCTGCCGCGCTGCCGCCCTTCTCCCCGCAGCTGCCTCTCCGGGTGGGGAGGGCGGGGGGCGCACGTCAGGGACCCTCCAGGGCCACTTGCGATCCAGCGCGGATCCATGCGAGCCCCCGACGCCCCGAACGGCTCCCCCGCGGGGAGCAGAACCGGAGCGGGCGGACCCCGGCCCTGAGCCGGCCCGGGAGGTGTGGAGCCTGGGCCGTGGGAGGGACGCGGCGGCCCCTGGCCTGGGAGACCCCGGAAGGGGCCGCCGGCTGTCGGGGGGGAGGCTGCGGATCCATCCTCCCGGATGTCCAGGCCGCCCCGAGCCCCCACCCTGGGGTGCCCAACCGGCCCTGAGGGATGAAGCCCCCGCGTCCTTCCGCCTGGTGCAGAGGCCGCCTTGGCGCTGGGGGAGGGGCTGGCACAGCCAGGCTGCTGCAGCCACCTCAAAAGGCCCTGCTGCCTGGCCGGGGATGCGGAGCGGGCCAGGTGGGGGTACCTGAGAGTCTGGCCTGGAAGGGAGAGGGTGACAATAGGCCCAGCCCCCACCAGGTCACCCTGTCCGGGAGAATCTGCCTCTGACTCCCTGCTCCTGGGTGTACTGGCCTCTGCTGGGGGCAGAAGGGGCCCTGGTGCTGCATGATGGGGGGCGGGGACGACATGGGATGGAGGAGGGGGTAGAGGAGGCAGCGTGGCTCCGCAGTGCTCTTGCTGTGCGGCCTGGGGTGGGGGTGGGGTGCTGCAGGCCGGGGAAGCTCCTTTTGTGCCCCTGCAAGGGTTCTGAGTGGAGGTCCAGGCCCCTGTCCTCTCCCTTGCCTCCGTCCTGGCCCAGCCCAGTCTCAGTCCAGGGGTGGCTGTAGCACCCCAGGCCCCAGCCCTGCACCCGGAGGACAGTGCCATGCATTCACTGCTAATAAGCACTGGATGCAGATGACAGGTCACGTGACCCAAGGGGGCAGTTCATCCTGAGGTCTCACTGAAACACCTCCTGCTGCAGCCAGCCTGGGGCTGCATGAGTGTTTCTGGGCATGTTGCCGGGCAGGTTCTGTTCCTCTGGTGCCCTCCATCCTCGGGGAGGCTTCTGGGAATAAAATCCCACGAACAGAGATGCAGAAAGACATTTAGAGCCAGTCTCTGCTCCAGGACTCCTCTCTCCTCAGATGGGCTGAAGTCAGGGCCTAGAGGCTACCACTGGGCAGGCGCCTCCTCGAACAGGCATCGGCCGGGGACAGAAGAGACCTAGGAGTCACTTCTTGCAGAAGGCAGGGAAGGGGGCGGACCCAGGGCGAGAGAGAGATGGTTGGACTCCGGCCATGAGAACTGCACGGGCTGAGGCCCTTTCTGCCTGAGGTGCTCAGCACCATGACCTCTGGAAGCCCCAGGCTTTTCCTGGTGTTTCTCTTGTGGCACAGTGACTGGGAGGAGGGGCACAGGCCTGGTGGGAAGGGAGGGAACCTGGATTGTCCGGCTCTGAGGGTCAGCTATCGCAGACCCCTGTGCCAAGCTCAGACCCTGTTCTTGGGATCACAGGCAACCTCCAGCCCACCCCACTTTCTCCCAGGTCCACAGCTTCCCAGGCCAGGGTGGCTCTGCCTGGCCTGCTGTTGGCCCCGTGGAGCAGAGTGAAGGCAGCTTGAGTCCCGAAGCACTAACCCAGAGAGCTGAGGGGACACAGGGATGAGGGCGTTTGGGGGAGCCCAGTGAGGGCAGATGAGCTAACCTGTGAGAGTGCAGGGCCCCTGCCTCCCAGAGGCACCACCCACCAGTCTCTCCCAGCCTCCTTAGCATGATGACTTCTGCCTCCAGCGGTGCCCCAGTGGCAGTGAGCTGGACAGCTCCTAGGGCCTGCCTGGGTGTGAGGGGGAGGCATGGTCCCATCACGCCATGCTTGACAGTCCTGACAGCCATTTGTGAAGGTAGCGAGTTCCCTGTCTCTAGGTGCTGAGCAGAAGGTAACCTGGTGAGAATTGGGGATGGCCCAGGACTCCCTGGTCCCGTCTGTGCTCAGGGTCAGGGATGTGCTGCGTTGGGGGCCCCAGGTGTGGGCGCTCTCATGTGTGAGGAGTCTGGAGCGGGGTGCTGGGGTTCCCGGAATTCTGCGTGCAGAGGGCAAGGATGTGCGTGGACTCCGGTGCGTGCCCAGCACCACTTGCGTGTGCGCCCATTCTCACATGGGTACTTGCACACAGGCAGGTGGATTGTGGGTAAGCTGGGAGCACCAGCCCGTGTTTGGAGTGGGTGTGCAAATGGGTGTGTTCTGGCACACACAGAGGGCAGTGTGCACGCCGCACTGGAGTTAGGCTGCTGTGTCCCAGGGGAGGGTGGCTGCCCGCTGCCTCCTGGAAGGTGTGGGCCTGGGAGGAGCCTCCTTCTGACTTTGGGCTTGGAAACTTCCTCCTGGGCTCAAAGACCTTTGAAGAGGGTATATGGGGCTCTGCCAGGGGTTCGGGGCGGACATCCCATCAGCCATGGCTCTCACCACCCAACCCATAGGCAGGGCCACAGGTGCTCAGGAGGGCTTGGGGTGTGGAGTGGGGAAAGGAGAGCCACAGAACCAACATCCACCTTTTTTTTCCTCTGTTCCCACAGGGCCAGTGCTGGCCCCACTGATCTGTACCAGGCTGTCCCTAGTGTCTCTGCTCCCCACCCCACCCAACCTGCCCCATCCCTGGCATAGCTGGGCCCTGATCCTTAGCATCTGGGGAGCCAGAGATGAGGGAGCTTCCCCCTGGGAGCTGTATGTCCAGAGACCCTGTAGGTGAGAAGTGCAGAGAAGGCCTCCGAGGGGCGGGAGCCAGTGAGCTGCAGGAAGCGAGCCTGGGCACAGCGGGTACTGAGAGTGGACAGGAAGGTCAGGACCAGGAAGGGCAGAGGAGCGGAGGGGCTGGGGAACCCACTCCACTGGGCTCTGGACTGCCAGGCACCTGCTGGGGTGGGTGGGAGCGAAGGGAGGGGCACATGCCCACTCTGCAGAGGAGCCTGCTCCACGGTGGCGGCTGCCGCAGGAGCAGCGGTTGCCATGGCGACGATGGAGGTGCTAACTTGCTAATGAGTCCCCTTCGGCTGCAAATAACAATACCGTTGCCAGTGATAGGCCCAGCTCCAGCTCGCAGTTACTTGGGAGGCAGGGCGGGCCCAGGTAAAGGCCAGACCCATCCCGCACCTCCAGCCCCTGCCCACCGGACTTGCCTCCTCCCTCCACTCCCTCTGGGGCTCAGGCCTGGCTGTCTGTGGTGTTGGGGCCCCTCTCTACCTCCTGGCGGTGTCAAGACTCAAGGCTATATGATGGCCAGGCCCTGGCTGCAGGGAGGGCAAGGGCCTCTCCTCCCTGCATGGTGGGGGTGGGGTGGGGGGGAGATCGGCGGTGGGGGGAGGGGTATTCACTTCTGTTGTTTTCAGTGAGAGAGAATCCACCCTCACTTAACGGATGAGGACATTGAGGCCAGGGATGCTCCTAGAAGGACCCCCAAGTGTCTCTGCCCCCACGGCCATCTCGGGGTCCTAGACCTCTGAGCTGGGCCCTTGGGTGTCATACAGGGCACCTGGAGCCACTGTCTCCCCAGGACTACACATCTGGGCCCTTGCGTGTTACCACCTGCTCAAGGTTTGGGCAGAACTCTGAAGAGGCCGCAGGTGTGGCCCGGGGAGGGTGCCCTGTGGTGGAGGCTGGAGCACAGGAGGGGAGCGTCGTCGGAGTGGGTTCCCGAGGCCCCGCTGACCAGGTGCCACCACAGGCCCAGGTGTCAGCCGTGGGGTCAGCTGAGGCAGGTGTTTCCCTGGGCTCTGGTGGCAGCAGGGGTGGTGGGAACACACAGATGCCTGGGCCTGGGAAAGGTGGGAGGGGCCTGACGGGAGCCGAGTGTGAAGTGTCTGGAGGAGAGTGAGTTCGAGGCTGGGGCTCCTGGGCAGGGAGGGGCTGGGACCTGCCCCTCAGGCTGGATTCGAGTTGGACCAGGGACACGGTACACACCGGCCTTGCACCTGCTGCTCCGTGAACTTTCCTGTCAGCCCCCGGCCCGCCAGCCTGGGAACTGACCCAGAGAGTACAGAAACGGTGGTGGCCACTGTCCCCAGCCCATTTGCAGTGATGGGTATCCTCAGGGCACCTCCCCCAGTGCCCCCTGTGGCTGTGGTTGGGTGCCTGGCTTGCTGAGAGCCCTCTGCCCACCAGAGCCCCCTCTCCCCACCGGAGCCCCCTCTGCCCACTGGTGGCCTTGCAGAGACACCCAGTGCCCATCTGTGTAGGTTAGAGTGGGTTCCACCCCTGTCCTAAGCCTCAGTTTCCCCATAGTTAAAGCAAACTCATCATCCTTATTCCACGTGCCTCCTGGGGACTGTGAGTCTAAAGTGGACCCAGAGGAAGGGTAGTCCTGGCAGGTGACCGGGAGATGGACCCCGAAGTGGGGCAGTGACAGAGACTTGTCACCAAGCCTGCAGGAGGGGCTTCTAGAGACCCCATCCCCAGACACGCCTCCTCCGCCTGCCCGCCCTTCAGTCTGAGGGCTTTGCAGGCCATGCCAAGGGCCTGGCACCTTCGGGTCTCTGATACTGGGGCTGCCCCCCATCCTGGGCTCCAGCAGCCCCTGAAGGGGCCCCCCAGACCCCAGGCTCTGCTGAAGGAGGGGCACTCTGTGGGTATGACACACCCCTGCAGGAGCCAGGCACTCACCCCCAGCAGGCACATGGCACGCACTAAGCCTCAGCCTGCAGGCCAGGAGGGCAGCCGTGGCAAAGGAGCCGTGCCTCTGTGCCCGAGCCTCTCCCACACCCTGCCTGCCATCCGGCTGCCCTGGGAGCCCACTCTCGGGCAGAGACAGCCCCCAGGCCGCCATCCGCCAGGGGCTGGATTATCGGCTTACAGCGCCACCCTGCAGTCCAGGCTCTGGGGATTGGACTCCCCAGGGCTGTGCCAACAGAGGGAGGGACAGGTGTGGGGACAGCGAGGCTGGAGGAGGGCAGAGGGCTTCGCCAAGAGGGAGGGTGAGGTGCCGTCTGGACCCCTGACTTGCTGGGGGTCCTGTGGTGGGGAAGATGCAGAGGTCAGAGCAGGGAGACGCCTGCATCCCAGGGATGAGATGGAATGTTCTGGAATGCATAAGTGTCCATGAACTCCAGGGCCCAAAGGAAGGACCCCTGGCCTTGTCCTGCCGGCCGGCCCAGTCCAATGCTGTGGGCTCATTTGCCCCCCACTGCCTTGCTGCGTCCTGCTGAGAGGTGGCCTTGTGACCTGGACAGGGTCTCTCTGGAGGGAGGAGGGTCTCCGCAGGCACATTTTGGGCTCAGATGTCCTGGCGGGCTGGGGTCCCAGCTCTGGCCGGTCCTGGGAGCTTCTGGGTGCCACGAAGGGGCCTGCAATGCGGCTGACCATCCCCCTGTCCCTGCAGGTCCGGCACCATGTGCTAGGTCACTCCCAGCGGGAGGCCACACCCTGGGCCATCGGAGCAGCCCCTCCTCACTTCAGGGGTCACCCTCCCCACCACCCACTGCCCCACCATGGCCGGGGACCGGCTCCCAAGGAAGGTGATGGATGCCAAGAAGCTGGCCAGCCTGCTGCGGGGCGGGCCTGGGGGACCACTGGTCATCGACAGCCGTTCCTTCGTGGAATACAACAGCTGGCACGTGCTGAGCTCCGTCAACATCTGCTGCTCCAAGCTGGTGAAGCGGCGGCTGCAGCAGGGCAAGGTGACCATCGCAGAGCTCATCCAGCCGGCCACACGCAGCCAGGTACCCAGCGCTCCGCCCGCTGGCCTGTGCCACCTCCAGAGCCCACGGCCAAGGAGTCCTCAGCTTGGGCAGCCTCCCTCCTCTGCCCTCCAGCCCAATCTGGGCTCCTTGGGGTCACAGCCAGGAGCGTGTGGGGCAGTCCCCTCTGGCACTTGCATTTTGCCGATGCCTGCTGTCCCTGCTCAGGGCCCTCCCCACCCTTCCCCAAAGTCCTCCTCACTCAGCACCTGCATGGAGGTGCTGGCCCTCCCCACACGGTCGGGACTATGTGGCTGGGACTGGCCCAGGCTCATAGAGAGGAGCAGTGAACGGGATAGCCAGGTGTGAACACAGGGCTGGGAGCAGCCCAGACACAGCTGTGTCATCCACTCCGACTGCTGTGAGGACAGGAGGGGCGGTCAAAAGGCACACGTGAGCAGCATGTCCCCATCCCACAGCTCCCCCTAACCCCGAGTATTCAGGGACCCAGAATTCTCTCTGTGACCCCCCAGGAACGTCCTTCTGGGGAAGGACAGCTCGTTCCGCCTCAGGACTATCAGGTGCAGCTGGGGTGGGACCAGCCGGGCTGTTGACTTGTGAAGGTAGCTCCTCCTCCGACTGCCTCACAGGGGGACGAGGGTGACAAGCTATCAATCGTGGAGGCTTTGAGAGGGGTCTGGGTCACTGATATGCCCTGTTCGGAGCTGGGGCATTGGAGGACGCAAGTGAGATGGCCACTGGCCAGGAATCTGCCTGCTCCAAGGCCAGAATTGGCTCCCTTTGGCTTCCAACAAGGGGAATCCAGTGATTAATGACCCCCAGTGAGGACTCCCGGCAGGGTGCAATCCCATTGGCTGCCGGTGACGTCACCCAGCCTGGGGTTGGCGGCTCAGCTGGCTTAAGGGCTGAGTGTGCTCGCCGGGCTGGGCGGGGGCACCGGTGCAGTGTGAGCAAAAGCCGCTCAACATCTGGGCTGGCCCTTGGGGCAGGGGAGGAGGACGGGAGGAGCCCAGCTTCTAGCTGCTGCCTCCGGAACTGGTGCAGGGGCCTTCGGTCCTGCCGAAGTCCTCTGTTTCTCCGACGGGGGTTGAGGAGGGAAGAGGGTGGAGAGCAGAATTGCTGGCTCCAGAGTTAGCCCCACTGAGAGCCCACACCTGAAGGCACTGCCTCTAGAATCCCTGAAATGGGCCGAGCCTCCCTTTCCCTGCACCACCCCAGGAGCCAGCCAGTTCCTATCCTGAGTTCCCATCGCACTCACCTGTGTCTCCTCGACACAGGCCTGGCCAGAGCATTTGTCCCCTTTTCCCATGTGCAGGCAGGAGCCCGCCGCCCCCCCCCCCCGCCCCCATGGCTGCTGTGTGGCGTGGGTGTATGCACCTGGCACCTGGCAGGTGGAGGACAGTGTGTGAGGTGTGTCACTGCACCGGCTCTCCCCCCAGGCAGCAGGGTGACAGCTTTCACCTCCCATCGTCCGACGACCTCACTGTTCCCTTGGGCCAGTGTGGCTGGGACAGGGCCGGGCATCAATAGGTGGGGGTGGCATGCTGACCTCTGCCCCATGGCCCCCAGGTGGAGGCATCAGAGCCGCAGGACGTGGTGGTTTATGACCAGAGCACGCGGGACGCCAGCGTGCTGGCAGCAGACAGCTTCCTCTCCATCCTGCTGAGCAAGCTGGATGGCTGTTTCGACAGTGTGGCCATCCTCACAGGTGAGTCTGGGACCCACGCCTCCCCAAGGCACTTGGTCTGTCAGCAGGCGCTGGGGCTGGGGCGTCAGAGAGGCCAGCGTCTGCTGTGCACAGGGGAAACCTCCATATATCTGTGGTTCTCGAGGCCCTGCCATCCTCTCCCTGGGACCCCCACGCTTCAGGATCCACCAATGTGAGTTTATCCTCAACACAGAAGGAAACCCCAAAGTACAGCTCCGCTCCGGAGGTGTGGGGTGAGGCCTGCAGGTGTGGGACCCTGCTCCCCTTCCCAGAGTGCCTGACAGAAGCCGAGGCAGAGGCCCCACCCTCTGGAAATTCAGCTGGAGCCATGGGGTGGTGAGGAAGTCTCCCCACCCTGAAAGCCCAGCTGACTGCGGGCTGTCCGGCATCAAGGCTGCTGCCTGGGTCCCAGCAGAGAGCCCAGGGATCCCTGAGGCCCGAAAGCAGCCTGGGCAGCCAGCTTCAAGCTCTGGAGGCAGGGAAGCTACCCCACCGCACACTCATATACACATCTAGATACACACTCATACATACTCACACACAGACACACTCATATACACATCTAGATACACATACACACACAGAGACACACTCATATACACATATACAGATACACACTCATACATACACACAGAGACACACTCATATACACATATACAGATACACACTCATACATACTCACACACAGAGACACACTCATACACATCTAGATACACATACATACACACAGAGACACACTCATACACATATACAGATACACATACACACACACAGAGACACACTCATATACACATCTAGATACACACTCATACATACTCACACACAGAGACACACTCATACACATATACAGATACACACTCATACACATACGCAGATACACACTCATACACACATACACAGATACACATACAGATACACACTCATACACAGATACACACACATACACAGATACACATACGCAGATACACACTCATACACAGATACACATACACACATACAGATACACACTCATACACAGATACACACTCATACATACACACAGAGACACACTCATATACACATATACAGATACATACTCATACACATACGCAGATACACACTCATACACAGATACACATACACACATACAGATACACACTCATACACAGATACACACAGATACACACTCTACACATACACAGATACACACGTATACACATACAGATACTCATATACACTCTTACACATACACACTCATACACTTACACAGATACACACACACAGATACACACTCATACACATACACACACTCATATACACTCTTACACATACACACTCATACACATACACAGATACCCACACACACATACAGATACACACTCATACACATACACACAGATACTCATATACACTCTTACATATACACACTCATACACTTACACACATACATACACACTCATGCACTCATACACACACACATACACAGATACACACATACAGATACACACGTATACACATACACAGATACTCACATACACTCTTACATATACACACTCATACACTTACACACTCATACATACACACTCATATGCACTCATACACATACACACATATACACACACATACGCAGATACACACTCATACACATACACAGATACATGTATACACATACACACAGATACTCATACTCTTACATATACACACTCATACACTTACACACTCATACATACACATTCATATGCACTCACACACATACACACACATACACAGATACTCATACACACACATACACAGATACACGTAAAAACACACACAGATACTCATACACTCTTACATATACACACTCATACATACACACTCATGCACTCATACATACAGTCACATATACACAGTTGTATTCACTCATAAACATCCACAGACACACTCATACACATACACATATACTCAGATACTCGTATACACTCATACACACAGATACACACTCATATGCACTCTACACAGATACACACTCATACCCAGACACTCATACAGATACTTGTGTACACATACACACTCATACACAGATACACACTTGTATGTGCTCACACATACACACACATAGATACTCGTGTACACTCACAGATACACACATACAGATACACACTCATAAACACACACATGTACACACATACGTATGCACTCAAACACATACACACACTTACACATAGATACTCGTGTACACTCATACACAGATACACATACAGATACTCATAAACATAAACACACATGTACACACATACGTATGCACTCAAACACATACACACACTTACACATAGATACTCGTGTACACTCATACACAGATACACATACAGATACTCATAAACATAAACACACATGTACACACATACGTATGCGCTCAAACACACACACTTACACGTAGATACTCATGTACACTCATACACAGATACACACATACAGATACACACAGATACATGCTCATAAACACACTTACACATGTACACACACATACACACTTGTATGCGCTCAGACACATACACACACATAGATACTTGTGTACACTCATACACATACAGATACACGCTCATAAACACACACTTACACATGTACACACACACGTATGCGCTCATACACACATACACAGATACACACATATACACAGATACTCATGCACTTATATACAGATACACACTCATACACCCAAGCAGGACCTGCGCTTGGGATGGCCCCCCATGGGTCGTGCCCTCAGGCCCCCTCCCACCCTGAGGTGGGCACAGACCCTGCTCTGGGCTGGCTCTGGAAGTACCAGGGAGAGTGGGAAGTGACATATTGAGCGGGACAGGGGTGCTGCACTTACTAGGAGAAGGGACAGTCCAGGGTCCCGCTGCACAGGCAGCACAGCTCCTTGGTCCATATGCAGGGACAGTAGAGGCCAGGGCTTGAGGACCAACCCTCTCTGCTCCCCACAACAGGGCAGGTTTTCCTGCTTCCCCAAAACCTGCCCTGTTGCAGGGAGGAGAGGCCATGCTGGGGTCCCAGGACTGCAGTGAACCCCACCTCCCCTTGCTGCTCCTCTTCCCCACCTCCAGCTGCACTGCTCATGATGCTGGGGGTGGGGCAAAGCGGCAGGGGAGGGGAGAGGGGCCTGGCCCTTTAAGCAGCGGCCCACAGTTGGCCTTGGACCCCAGCTGGGGAACTGCGCTGCAAGTGGGTGGGGTGGGGGCCCCGTCCCGGTGGGGAGTCGGGGGGTCATGGAGGTGGCAGGCAGAAGCATGTCTGTGACTGTCATAAGCGCATGCGGGGTCTGCCAGGTGGCTCAGTAGGGGTACACGTCCTGGTACACACGCTTTCATTCGAGTCTGGGATTTCACTATGAGCTGCAGGCACCCCCCTCACACCCCTAAGTCAAGGAGCAGGGACAGTGGGAAGGTGCCTTTGGAGAGGCCTGGGGATGGCGGTGCCTCCCCCAGGCCCAAAGCGTGCTGGGACCTACAAAGGGTCCCTCACTGAACCCCAACGCCCCTCCCTTGTCACTCACCTGCCCTAGAGCCTGGGTGGTCCTGAAATCCCTGGAGCCTCAGTCCCTGCTAGGCCTGGCGCCCACGGTGGGCTCTGTAGGGGGCATCCATGCCACCCGCTCTGCCTGGGGAGTCCTGGGAAGCTTCCCACAGCTGTCAGTGTCTGTACCTGTCCAGAGGCTTTCCTGCCTTACCTCCTGTGGGAGAGGGGAGGGTTCTGATGGAATCCCCCCCCCCCCACACCCCGCCACCACCACTCCCTTTGGCCAGGCCCTGAAGAAAGCAGAGAGTAAGGCACTAGATCTCTGGGAGAGCCACAGGGAGGGGGAGGCAGCAGCTACCAGGGAGGAGTCTGCGGAGAGACAGTGTGGCCCCTGCCCTCCCGGAGCATGGAGAACATCCAGGGCTCCCCTGGTTCCGATCAGTGAGCGGGAGCCGGCCACAGCCCAGCCTCTGCTCAGGGGAACCTGCAAGCTGGGGCATTGTTGGTGACAAGTCACCTGCTTCCCCCTGTCCAACCAGCAGGTTCCCATGGAAGGGACGTTTCTCCAAGGCTGCTGCCTCAAGCCGCCCAGCCTGGAGCTTCCACCGTCTCCACAGCCCCAACCATCATGCCGTTTTTGGGGACACGAGGAGCTGGCACAGCAGGCGTTCTGGTTGGGGGTTTGCACACACTCCCCTATGCTCAGGAGTTATCCAGGTTCCTGGCACCAACCTCTTCTGCAAACCAGGACAAAACAGCTCTGAGGTCCCCCGGCCCTGAGCGCCCCACTTCAAAGCCTGGCCTCTTCCAGGGGGATCGGGCAGGCCTTAGCCCAGAGGTCTCATGTTCTGCACCAGCAGGAGCCAGCTTACCGTGGGGGCTTATGTCACAGAAGGTGTCCCTGGGGTGGTGCTGGGCAGTGCTGGCCTCACCCTACAAGAGCTGGTGGCCACCAGGTGGGTGCTGCCCAGTTTCTGGTCCACATTGGTAGTCACTCCAGCCAGGTTGGGGCAGCCAGGTTCATTCTCACTGTGCGTCCTGATCTCCAGTATCTTCTCGAAGCTGCACAATGCCATATAGCAGGCAGGCTGAGGAAACAGAGACCTGAGGCATGACATGCACTGCCCGTGGTCACCGATCACACGTCCCAGGGATTCACGCTCCAGTCTTTCCAACTGATGGAGGGCAGAGGAGTTCCTCCCACCAGCCTGTGCCTCGGACTTGGATGTGTGTGGCAGTCGCTGGCCACATGTGCAGTGGGTGCCCGCTGCCTGCCCCGAGTGCCCCCTGCCTGCCCCAAGTGCCCCTGGTACCCAGGGCTCCTCCACTCTTCTCCCTTTCCTGCTTGGTGGAATGGAGCCATAACCAGACGCAAATGCCCCAAGGGCTGTGCCAGGGTGATGTCATGCCTGGGGAGGGGGAGGGGACGGCCTCTCAGAAGCCCTGGCCTCCTAGTCCTGGCACCCAAGCCTGGGCCTGGGGCTCCCAGCCAGCTGGAGGCAGGGAGGCGTTGCATCAGCGCCAGGGAGGAGGAAGGCCCAGCCTGGCCCCAGGCCACGGGTATCGGGGGAGGAACTGGCAAGGGCCTCTCCTGTGGTCTGCATGACCCACACCCTCAGAGGGAGCCCCCTGTGGTCTCTGCGCCTGCCCCTGCCCGGGCCCAGTGTGTGCCATGCTGGCCAGCCACCTCAACCCCACCTTTATGGGCATCACAGCCGCGTCCTCAGCTGGCTCAGCCCCTCATTAGCGTGAGGAGGAATGTGGGCGTGGGCTCGGGCTGTGGATGTGTGGCAGCACCCCCGCCCCTGCCGCAGCCAGAGCTGCCCTCCAGCAGCGTGACTGATCCTCAGCAGTAGATGGGGCACCCTAGGCAGACGGAGCACCCTGGTGGTCCTCTCAGCCCACCTGACAGGCCTCCTCCTCCCACAGGCGGCTTCGCCACCTTCTCCTCCTGCTTCCCCGGCCTCTGCGAGGGCAAGCCTGCTGCCCTGCTACCCATGAGCCTCTCCCAGCCCTGCCTGCCCGTGCCCAGCGTGGGACTGACCCGCATCCTGCCTCACCTCTACCTGGGCTCGCAGAAAGACGTCCTCAACAAGGTGTGTGTGCAGCGGAGTGGGGGGAGGAGGATCAGTGGGAAAGGGCAGGAGCTCCAGAGCCAGCTTGGCAGTGGAGTAGGGATGAGGGGAGGAAGGAGCTGAAGGCAGTGCATGAGCTGGGTGTGCGAGAAGCATGGGTGGGGGCCAGGAGGACCGCAGGCTCCCACCCATGCCCCCGGCAGGACCGTAGCAGGGCTGGGTGGAGGAGCAGGGAGCTGGCATGCCAAGCTGCAGATGTCACTGGGCCCCTGGCCAGCTCTGAAAGAATCCCGTGTTTTAAAAATGGTGACAAGTGAAAAGGGTAAAAGCCACCACCCAGGCAACCATAACATTCCTGGGAGCCCACTGCCAGCATGGGCAGGGCCTGCAGACAGAGCCCAGCCTGCCCCTGTCCCCTGCACGGGTCCAGGATGCCAGGGTGGAGACCAGAGAGGCCTCCTGGGCCCACGCCTGATACACTGGGATCCAGGGCAAATTCCAAGGCTCCCAGGAGCACCCAGGATTCTAAAGGCCCTCCTGATGGCAGGGCAGGGAGAGCCTCCACCTTCGTGCCCGCCCCGGAGCCTCTCCCACCCCTTTCCAGCCCGTCCTCCCGTCCCTGTCCCTCCAGGATCTCATGACGCAGAATGGAATAAGCTACGTCCTCAACGCCAGCAACTCCTGCCCCAAGCCCGACTTCATCTGCGAGAGCCGCTTCATGCGGGTCCCCATCAATGACAACTACTGTGAGAAGCTGCTGCCCTGGCTGGACAAGTCCATCGAGTTCATCGGTGAGTCTCTGCCGGCCAGCGGAGGGCAGGGCCTGGCTGGAGGAAGGCTAGGACCGCGCGTGGCTACAGCCACAGGAGGGGTCCGTGGGAAGCGGCCTGGAAGGTTGGCAGTCGGGAAGGTGGGGTCTCCTCTGGGGGGCAGGGAGGAGCTGCCCCCAGGGCCCTCACCTGCCCCCATGGCCCACCTGACCAGATAAAGCCAAGCTGTCCAGCTGCCAAGTCATCGTTCACTGTCTGGCCGGCATCTCGCGCTCCGCCACCATCGCCATCGCCTACATCATGAAGACCATGGGCATGTCCTCTGACGACGCTTACAGGTACCGCCTTCCCCAGCCACACACTGTGGCTCACAGCGTCGCCTCCTTCCCCCAGCTGCTCGCTTGCGCCAGAAAGGCCCCACCTTCCAGGACCCCCGGCAAGGGACGGGGGTCTGAGACCAGCCCAGCACACAGGAGCTCGCCTGCGGGTGCGTCACATGGGCAGCCTGGCCCCGGGGGCGCCTGGAGCTGAGCCTCGTCTCCCGCAGGTTCGTGAAGGACCGGCGCCCGTCCATCTCGCCCAACTTCAACTTCCTGGGCCAGCTGCTGGAGTACGAGCGCAGCCTGAAGCTGCTGGCCGCCCTGCAGAGCGACACGGGCACCCCGTCAGGGACGCCGGAGCCTCCGCCCGGCCCCGCACCCGGGGCCCCGCTGCCACGGCTGCCACCACCTACCTCAGAGAGCGCTGCCACCGCCAGGGAGGGCGGCCCGAGCGCGGGCGGGGAGCCCCCGGCGGCCCCTGCCACCAGCGCGCTGCAGCAGGGCCTGCGCGGCCTGCACCTCTCCTCCGACCGCCTGCAGGACACCAACCGCCTCAAGCGCTCCTTCTCGCTGGACATCAAGTCGGCCTACGCGCCCAGCCGGCGCCCCGATGGCCCCGGGCCCCCCGACCCCGGCGAGGCCCCGAAGCTCTGCAAGTTGGACAGTCCGTCGGGGGCCGCGCTGGGCCTGCCCTCGCCCAGCCCGGACAGCCCGGACTCCGCGCCCGAGGCTCGCCCGCGGCCCCGCCGGCGGCCCCGGCCCCCCGCCGGCTCCCCGGGGCGCTCCCCCGCGCACGGCCTGGGCCTGAACTTCGGCGACGCGGCCCGGCAGACTCCGCGGCACGGCCTCTCGGCCCTGTCGGCGCCCGGGCTGCCCGGCCCCGGCCAGCCAGCCAGCCCTGGGGCCTGGGCGCCGCCGCTCGATTCCCCGGGCACACCGTCGCCCGACGGGCCGTGGTGCTTCAGCCCCGAGGGCGCGCAGGGAGCGGGCGGTGCACGGTTTGCGCCCTTCAGTCGGGCGGGCGCGCCGGGACCAGGCGGCAGCAGTGGCGGCGACCTGCGGCGGCGGGAGGCGGCTAGGGCCGAGCCCCGGGACGCGCGGACGGGCTGGCCCGACGAGCCGGCCCCGGAGACGACGCAGTTCAAGCGCCGCAGCTGCCAGATGGAGTTCGAGGAGGGCATGGTGGAGGGGCGCGCGCGCGGCGAGGAGCTGGCCGCCCTGGGCAAGCAGGCGAGCTTCTCGGGCAGCGTGGAGGTCATCCAGGTGTCCTGACCCCTCCGCCGGGCCCGTTATACATATATATTATATATAATGCAAAGAAAGGTAAATGGTTTTACTGCGATTTTTATCGAGAAGTAAATATTTCGATTTTTTATTTATTTAAGCTGTTCATTCTGGCAATGATTGGCAACAGCGCGGGTGGTCCTCGAGCTCTATTTTTACTGTCTGGTATTTAAACTGAAACACACGTTTCTAAGCAATACGAGGCCACCTTCAGTCGCAAGCTGGGTGCCAGGCCTGGGGCCCCCCCAGTTCCCCCGCCCCAGGAAACACTGCTGACCTTTGCAAAGGCTGCCGAGCTTTCGTGCACTTTTTACATAAGAAAAAGGTGAAAAAGAAAAAAAAAACTTCTTTGCCACAAACTGAGCCGCAGAACCCCCCTTCTTTCCCCACCCACCTCCTCTGCTCTCTCCCTTCTCTATGCCTGCCTCGGGCTCTGCACCAAAGCCATAGGTTTGGGGAGCAGGAGCTGATGTGCCCCAGAGAGGCGCAGCCAGCCTCCACCAGCTCCAGGTGCCAAATCTTGGTGGCAGGGAGGGCACCTGGCCGCCCGTTGCCTGGAGCTGCCCCGGAGCTGCCGGGGTGGACGGGCATTGGGCCTCGTGGTACCAGCATGTTCAGAGGGGCTGAGGAATAGAACAGTGTGTGTAGGGTCTTGGGGCCGGGGCTTCTGGAGCGTCAGATGAGGTGGAGCCCGGGGAGGATGTGGGTGTTCATGCCCCCACTCCTGCCAGAGCCCTGGTCCAGCCACAGGGTGGCCCAGAAAGGCCATTCCCAGAGGGCTGCTGCCCTTCCCTCTCCCTTGCCCATGCCCCAGAGCTGCCTGCCGGGCAGGGCAGCATCACTGCAGGAGAGGAGCTTAGCCTCGGGGTCAGGCAGGAGGGGCCCGGCTAGCCTGTGTTGGGTGCACTAGGCAGGGAGCCCTGGACCCCTAGGTATGGGGAGGGGGTAGTCTGATGGTCCTGTTCCAGGCCAGTCCCCACCTAGCAAGGCCCCAGGCAGGACTTGGAATTCAGGTGTGCACCTGCAGGCTGGGGGCTCCGTGAGCAGGTGCCGCCTGGCACAGGGCGAGTCGGTGCCGGCCCAGCCCCCATACTTCCAGTAGGCCTGATAAAGCCCCTGATTCGAGCAGGCGCAGGACAAGCCCCCTTGTCTGCCCTGAGCCCCATGGGGACCTCTCAGGAGAGAAACTCCCTTGCACCCTTCCCCAGGGCGCTCTCCGGGTATCTTCTAGGTGGCATGCCAGCCCCCAAACACAGGTGGCTTTTGGGCCCAGGTGGGTCAGCTGGCTGCCCCTGCCACATACCCTCTCAGGCCACTGGGACCCCTGCCCTTCAGATATCCTGGGGTCTAGCAGTGGGACCAGTCACCGTGGGAAGAGGCTAGGGGTTCTCTGGGCAGGAGGGGTGGTCCAGGCAGGACCCCGTCAAGAGTCCTGGAGCAGGGCCAGGGAGGTGCCCACCCCGCCCTGCCCAGCCACCCTCTCTGCTGTTTCTTCTGTTTGTTCTTTTCCCCCACAGCCCTGTGTTCCTGTCATCCCTCCTTTCAGCAAAATCCTGTTCCCTCTGTCCCCACCCACTCGTGTTCCCCAAGAAAATAAGCTATCATTGTTGTATTTGCAATCTATGGATTAGAGGTTTAAGTATTTATTATTATTGGTTAATTATTATTATTAATTATGTAAATTTGCCTCCCGTCTGTCTGTTGCGTTGGGTTTCTGAGGTGACCCTGGGTGTGGAGGATGCACTGGCTCCCGATTCTTGCCCCCCAACCCCTATGCTGTCTGGGAGACTGTAGTCTGGGGCCACTGGTTGGGCCCCCCTCCTCCCCTCCCCTCGTCCCTTCTCCAGCGAATGGGGGATCTGTCTGTCTCAGTCTGTCTCTGCTCCCGCTCTTGAGGCACTGGTCACCCCGAAGTGAGCAGCCAGGGTGGGGAAGAAGGTCCTGTCTCGGCCACTGCCGCCTCCAGTGCTTCAGGAGGCAGGCCAGGGCCCCATCCTGCTGGCTTTCTCCCACCTGGGCCTGGAGTCCTCCCCAAGCCTCTCCCGCCCCTCCCGCCCAGCCACTGCCTGGCATTGGGAATGCCTCACAATGCACCCGGCCCCTCCTGTCATTTGCTGGGAAGTCCAGCGGAGGAGTGGGTGCAGGTCCCCAGCCGACCCTCCCTCCAGTCTCTGTGGACTGGGCTGCCGGCCCTCCAGCCCCCCAGCTCCCCTTGGGGCCCCTCCCTCCGCGGCCGCACCTTCCGCTCCCGGCCCTTCCTTTGTATTTGGAGACAATGTGTTGTAATAAAGCTTAAAGTGGATGTTTTCCCCACGACTCGCTGCCTCTTCCTTCAGACTGGTGGGCCGGGTGGGGGCAGAGGCCGCTGGGAGAGCAGGCCTGAGGCTCCCTGAGGCCAGGACCCTGGTGTGCGGGGCCTGGAAAGTCGCCCCGGACTCATACTGTGACCCTGCTCTGAGAATACGCCCTGGGGCCAGGCATGGGCACAGGTCCTCAGCTGCACTTTCAGGGTGGAAAACACGTGGTTTTGGCTGTTACATGCTAGTACAAGCTTAAATAACTTAAAACGATATAAAATAAAACCTCAGTGTTACCCATCAACTCCCCTCAGTCCTGCAATCCTGGCGTGAGGAGTCGGATGCTTCCCTTCCCGTCCCGAGTGTGCTCGAGTGCATGTATGTGGGGGCGTGTACGGACCAGCAGAAACGGGTTTAGCTGTATATAGTATCTACAACCAGCTTTTCTTTTCCTTTTTCTTTCTCTTTTTTTTTTCTTTTGAGACAGAGTCTTGCTATGTCACCCCGGCTGGAGTGCAGTGACACAATCTGGGCTCACTGCAACCTCCGTGTCCCGGGTTCAAGCGATTACCCTGTCTCAGCCTCCCGAGTAGCTGGATTACAGGCATGTGCCACCACACCTGGCTAATCTTTGTGTTTTTAGTAGAGATGGGGTTTCACCGTGTTGGCCAGGCTGGTCTCAAAGTCCTGACCTCAAGTCATCTGCCTGCTTCGGCTCCGAAAGTGCTGGGATTACAGGCGTGAGCCACCACACCCGGCCTCCAACCAACTTTTCAAATGTGCACATGGTACAAGGATCAAAAGCACACGTGGGTACATGGTAGGAAGTATTGGTTTGTCTCCCCCAGCCTTGTCACCAGCCTCCGGCCCCAACCCAGCCAGCAGCCCCCACCCCCTTGCCCCAGGGCAGTCCCACAGGCTGCAAAGATTCACGGTGTGTGTGCAGCCTGGGCTGAGGCTTACTCACACCTCGGTGGGAGATACCAGATCAGTGCTCACCACACAGCCCTCTGGTTCTTGCAGCCCCTTCCAGGTTTATCGTGCCTATCCCAAGGACCTCTCCCAGCCAGTGACACTGTCCAGATCATGTATGTGTGAGCGCTCATGAGATGGGAGGAAGAGGAAGCAAGAGAGGAGAAGAGGGGGGCTGCAGGAGGGGGCAGGGTCCTTTAATCCTGCATCCTTAAGACTCTTCAAAAAGCAGGAAAGCTAGAAACACAGTCTGATGCTCCTGAAAGGCTATTTTTGGCTGAGGAGCATCTATTTATAACTCTAGCAGCCCCTGGTAAAACTGAGGTCTGGAAAGAGCTGACGGCTGGCTCAAGCAGCACCGAGGTGCTCCCCTACCCCTCGTGCACGGGGGCGCCTGCAGCTGCAGGAGGTGGGTGATAGGGCCCCTACTAGGAGGACCATCTGGGGCACACAGGTCTCAGGACCCTGGGGGCAGTGCAAGAGTCCAAATGGAGAGAGGGGGTCTCATTTACCAACTCAACCAGGCTCGTTCAAGTCCAAGAGCTGCGCAAAGTAGGTGGTGAAGCACGAGTTGAACGCTGGCGAGCTGCCCACAACTGCTACACAGGGTCCCCTAAAGGCTTGATGTCCTGGCTAGACCTGTGTCTCCCCCAAGGCCAAGAGCTTTCCGTGCTAGATGGCTCTTGAATGGGTGGGAAGACGGGTGGAGGAGGGAGGGAGAGATGGATGGATGGATGGATGGATAGGTGAATTTATGGATGAATGGTGGCTGGTGGCTGGATAGATGGATAGGCATATGGATAAATGGGTGGAGGAATGAGTGGGGTGGATGGGCGGCTGGGTAGATGGATGGATGGATGTGTGGGTAAGTGGGTGGATGCATGGGTGTATGGACGGATGGATGAATGGGTAGAGGGATGAGTGGGGTGGGTAGGTAGGGGACTGGAGGGGTGGATGGATGGATGGATAAGTGGATGTATGCATGGGTGGATGGGTAGGTGGATGAATGGGGGAGGGATGAGTGGGAAGGATGATGGATGGATGAATGGGATGGGATGGATGGATGGGCAGATGGATGAATGGATGGAAGGATGAGTAGGGTGGATGGATGGATAAATGGATACATAAATGAGTATTCATAAATAGACAGGTGGATGGGTGGCTAGGGAGTAAAAGGGAAGGAAGGATGGGTGGATAAGTAGGTAAGTGATTGGGTGGATAGGAGGTGGATGGATGGGTAGATAATTGATTGGGTGGATAGAAGGTGGGTGGGTAGATAAGTGATTGGGTGGATAGAAGGTGGGAGGGTGGGTGGATGGGTAGATAAGTGGGTGGATAGGAGGTGGATGGGTGGGTAGATGAGTGATTGGGTGGAAAGGAGGTGGATGGGTAGATAAGTGGGTGGATAGGAGGTGGATAGGTGGGTAGATAAGTGATTGGGTGGAAAGGAGGTGGATGGGTAGGTAAGTGGGTGGATAGGAGGTGGATAGGTGGGTAGATGAGGGATTGGGTGGATAGGAGGTGGATGGGTGGGTAGAAGGTGAATGGGTGGTTAAGTGATTGGGTGGATAAGTGGTGGATGGGTAGATAAGTAGGTGGATGGGTGGGTAGATGAGTGATTGGGTGGATAGGAGGTGGATGGGTGGGCAGATGAGTGATTGGGTGGATAGGAGGTGGGTGGGTGGGTAGATGAGTGGTTGGGTGGGTAGGAGGTGGATGGGTGGGTAGATGAGTGATTGGGTGGATAGGAGGTGGATGGGTGGGTGGATAGATAAGTAATTGGGTGGACAGGAGGTGGATGGGTAGATGAGTGATTGGGTGGATAGGAGGTGGATGGGTGGGTGGATAGATAAGTAATTGGGTGGATAGGAGGTGGATGGGTAGATGAGTGATTGGGTGGATAGGAGGTGGGTGGGTGGGTGGATAGATAAGTAATTGGGTGGACAGGAGGTGGATGGGTAGATGAGTGATTGGGTGGATAGGAGGTGGATGGGTGGGTGGATAGATAAGTAATTGGGTGGACAGGAGGTGGATGGGTAGATGAGTGATTGGGTGGATAGGAGGTGGATGGGTAGATGAGTGATTGGGTGGATAGGAGGTGGGTGGGTGGGTAGATGAGTGATTGGGTGGGTAGGAGGTGGGTGGGTGGGTAGATGAGTGATTGGGTGGATAGGAGGTGGATGGGTGGGTAGATGAGTGATTGGGTGGGTAGGAGGTGGGTGGGTGGGTAGATGAGTGATTGGGTGGGTAGGAGGTGGGTGGGTGGGTAGATGAGTGATTGGGTGGTTACGAGGTGGATGGGTGGGTGGGTAGGTAAGTGACTGGGTGGATAGGAGGTGGATGGGTGGGTAAATGAGGGAGGGAGGGAAGGTGGGTGGGTAGTAATGTTATATTTCGTTATGTGCACTTCTGTTAGTCTTAATGTTCAAGCTATGTGCTTACCTCCATTCTCCACTGGACTACAAACAGGCACCTGGTCTTTGCATATAGAAGGCACCCAGTGAATGTCCAATGAATAAGCCACATACTAACTGTCTTGGAGTGGGACATCACAGGAGAGACCCACTTAAACCCTCTCCAAGGCCCAGGGAGAGGAATGGGCTTTGTCAATGTCCCTTAGAGGGTCAAGGGCAAATTTGGGGCTGAGCTTGGTTCCTGGTCTCCCAGGCACCATTTCTCTGCCTGCCAAGCAGTGCCTGGAAGTGACCCGGAGGCTGGTCTCAGCGGCGCCCCTGCCAGCTCCCACTGTACTCCTATGGATGGACTTTCCAAGGCCCTTCCAGGGCTCAGAAGGGAAGAGATTCCAAGCAGGAGAAAGGGCAGAGAGCCAGTTCTCAGGAAGACTTCCAGGAGGAGACAGAGTTTTGGCCTCTGAAGGCCACGTTGTGTTTGGAGGGGCTGGGGGCACGTGGGCAAGTTCCACAGCATGGGAGGAAGAGCAGAGGGAAGAGCGCCCTGCTGGGAGCCAGGCAGAAGCTGACGGCCTCTGGCCAAGGCAAGGCCCTACGGGAAGAGCGTGCAGCTGGATGAGACTCTGAATGGTGGGTGGGCTGGGGGAGTGTCTAAGAAGTGTGGTTCCTTGGGGACAAGGTGAGGGGAGACCTGCCACTAAAGGGAAGCCATGGAGTCTTTCAGGCGCCTAAAAAATGGAAATGAACAGAGGTTGCCCCGACCTCCTAGGAAGGGCACAGGGCACAGGGCACAGGGCAGGCCCTGGACGGATGGGCCGGAGGGTAGAGGCTGATCCTCAGCAGAGCTTCACAATGAATGCCCTGTGTGATTCCTCACCCAACCTGACCCTCTGGCCAGTGGCAGGAATGGGGCTCGGAGACTTTGCTGGCCTGGGGAAGAAGGAACTGTGGCCAGTGTGGAAGCCAGACCCAAACCCAGATGGCCCTGGTACCTGGCTCTGTTCAGTCACCTCTTGCCTACCTGTACCTAGCCGGTGCTCACAGGCTGGGGGCCCAGAAGAGGATTGGAAAACCACAGGAACTAGGAGTCAAGGGGTAGCGGTGCTTTGAGGATGAAGGGCACAGGACCTTCCTGAACACACCTGAGCCCCCAGCCATGCCAGGTGGTGGCTTTAGCTCCGGTTCCCACTGTGGGACCTCTGCCTCTTGGAGGGCATTAGGGCTGGCCAGGCTCAGCACAGGAAACTCCAGGAGGGGCAGGACTGAGTGGGAAAACTCCATGATTCCTCCAGGCAGCTGGGGTTTTGGGGTGCAATTCCCTCCAGAGAAAGCACACCCTACTGACCCAGGGGTGAGGCAGCCCAAGGGGAATGGGTCTAGACAGGAGCCTTTATGGAAGGAGCTGGGCCCCTGACGGTGTGATGATGGCTTTGTGAAGTGAGTGGCCCCTGACTGTGAGGACCAGAGCTCAGAGGGGACCCTGGTAGGGCGAAGGGAACATGCTTGTGCCCGCCACCTTCCAGCAGGGTGATGCCAGGGCAGGCCTTCACCAAATACCGGGCAGGTGCCTGGGTGGGCACCCTTCAGTCCTCCCAAACTGAGCAGGGAGATGTCTTGCTTCAGAGCCCT